CCCTCTCACCGGGACTGGCCAGCACCAGGGTGGCGTGGGCCGCCTCCAGCGCGTGCCGCAGGGCCCGGCCCCGCACGTTGCAGTTGAGGCAGGCCATGGCACAGCCCAGCTTGGCCAGCGCTAGCCACGTCCACACGTAGGCCGGCTCGTTGGGCAGGAACACGGCCACGGTGCTGCCGCTCCGCAGCCCCAGGCGCCGCGACAGGGCCCAGGCCGCTCGGTTGCTGGCCCTGTCCATGTCCTCGAAGGTGTAAATGTCGTCCTGGAAGCGCAGCAGGGGCTGGCGAGGCCGGCTCCGGGCGTGCTGCCGGAACACGTCCAGCAAGGTGACGGCGGGACGGCGGCGCAGGCGACGGTGGCACCGCAGCGACGACCGGACCATGGTGGCGAAGAACATCAAATCCTGCCACAGGAACGGTGCCAGCCGGGCTGCGGCCGCGGCCACCAGCAGCGCGACCAGCAGCAGCCCGGCCACGGTGGCCACCAGGGCCCCCAGCATCGCCATGGCCAGAGCTGGCGGTGCCGGTGGCCAAGGTCCGCCCGGGCAACCTTTGGCCCGGCCGTGCCGGGGCTGTGGCGTTGCCGGGGGCCGGAGTTCGCAGCTGTTTGGTGCCTCGCTGTCTGTTTGCTTCTTTTTTTTTTTTTTTTTTTTTTTTTTTTTTTTTTTTTGCGTTTTCCCTTCCACGCCCCAGGGTGTGGCTCTGCAGGCAGCGGCTCCCGTGGCTGGGTGGCTCTGTGGTCCCTGGCACCCCGGCTGTCCGTCTGTCCAGCCTTTGTCACCCTGTCTGTCCGTCTGTCCGGCCTCTGCCAGCACACCTGTCCCTCTGTCCAGTCATCCATCATTTGTCACCCTGGCTGTCCGTCTGTCCGGCCTCTGCTACCCCAGCTGTCCATGTCTCTGACCACTTGGCCCCTGGCACCCTGCCTGTCTGTCTGTCCGTCTGTCCAGCCAACCGCCCTCTGCCACCATGGCTGTCCAGCTGTCCGGCCTCTGCCACCCTGTCTGTCTGTCTGTCCAGCTGGGCCTCTGTCACTCTGCCCGTCTGTGTGTCCCTGCGTCTGTCTGTCTGTCCGTCTGCGTGTCCCTGTGTCCGTGTGGGTGTCGTCTGTGTGTCCGTGTGTCCACACGTCTGCGTGTCCGTCCTTCCACTTCGACACCCAGGCACCCGCCCAGCTCGTCCGTCACCGTGTCCGTTTGTCCTTCCGTCCATCCGTCCGTCCCCCTCAGCCCTGGCAGCAGCGCCAGGAGCAGCTCCGGGCACACCTGGCCCCCACCGCCCCCTCAGCCCCCCCCCCACCTTTCACCTCTCAGCTGAACCCCAAACTCCCCAAGCAACCCCAAATTCCCGGAACATCCCTTTGTACAAAACCCGAAAAACCCTTTCTGCCTTAATTTTTTTTGGGTGCAAACCCCAACTCTCCAAACTCTCCAAACCTTCCCATCCCCTTTTTTTTTTTTTTTTTTTTTTGGGGGGGGGGAGGGAGGAACTTCACAAATCTCCCGTTCCTCCCCCAAAATTCAGCGGCCCCACCTCTTCCATCCCATCCCATCCCGATGGCCCCGGGGATGTTTTTTTGGGCGGCAGCCGGGGACAAGGCGCGGGGCGCCGCCCTTTGCTCGGGGCACGGGGGATTCCACAACCGCGGTGTCAGCGAGTTTGGGGTCACCTCGGGTCGAAGTGCCGAACCAGCACCGGGTGTCACGTGGCCGGGGGTGGGGGGTGTGTGACACGGGGTGGGGTGTCCCCACCTGAGATGACGTCACGTAAAAAAAAAAAAAAAAAAAAAAAAAAAAAAAAAAAAAAAAAAAAAAAAAGAGGCTGAAGGTCCCACCGAGATTCGAAGGTCCCACCGAGATTCGAACTCGGATCGCTGGATTCAGAGTCCAGAGTGCTCACCATTACACCATGGAACCGGCTCGCGCTGCGCTCCCTCCGCGCGCTCCCTCCGCCACGAAAAAGAGACCCCGGGGATGGTGGGGGGGAGGGGAGGGGAGGGGGGAGAGGGGAGCGAGGGGGGGAGGGGGAGGAACAGCCGGGGTTGGGCTGAAAAAAGGGAAGAACGGGGAAAAAAAAAAGAGATGAAAAAGAGAAAAAAAGAAAAAAAGGAGAGTCGCCCGAACAGGGACTTGAACCCTGGACCCTCAGATTAAAAGTCTGATGCTCTACCGACTGAGCTATCCGGGCTCTTGGGGCGCTGCGGGGCACAGCGGCCCTAACCCGGGCCTAAGAAAAAAAAAAAAATCTTTTTTTTTTAGGGAAAAATGTCACGTTTTCAGAGAAAAATCCCATGTTCTTACTGAGAAACGTGAGGATTTGGGGGATTTTAAGTAGAAAAGCCGCCAGGGTTGAGGCAAGCAGGAGGCAGGATAAGTTTTGCCCCATAGGGAATTTGCCTCGCTCGGAAAACGGAATTGGGGATTTTTTTTTTTTTTTTTTTGTTTTGGATGGATTTAACCCCAAAAATCCTCAAAGGTTTTCTGCAGGAATCCATTTCCGTGCGGCAGAAGAGACAGAAATGATTTTATTTGGGTTTTTTTTTGGCTGGTGGCTTCCCCCAGGCTGTCCTGAGCCTTCCTGCTCCTCGAGTGAGGAATTTCTGGGGTTTACTACAAAATAATTTTTTTACTATAACTACTACTGCGATTAACAATAACAATAATAATAAATAATAAAGATTAAAATATAAAAATAATAAAAAATAATATAAAATGCAACAATATAGCAATAGAGTAATATATAACTATACTGGAATAAATTAAAATAGTAACTACATTTGTGATAATAATAATAAATTAGTATTACATATTATAATTTCATATTTATCTATTATTATTATTAGTGACATTAATATAACTAATATTATTATTCCTGTCACACTTGAATAATTTAATTAACCATTATTTCCACCCTCACGTTTTTCACCTTTTCACCCTTTTCCCAGTTTTTTACCTCACCTTTTCCACCCTTTTCCCCCGCACGTTTCCTGGCATTTTCTCCCCTCACTCTTCCCGCCATATTTCCCCCTCACGTTTTCCACTTTTCCCCCTCACATCTCCCAACATTTCTCCCCTCAAGTTTCCCGACATTTTCCCCCTGATATTTCTTATTTTTACCTCACATTTCCTGTCATTTTCACCCCTCACGTTTTCC